GTTTCTTTACAAATACTGAACACACAATTTTATTTTCCTCCATCATAAATCACAGGACAATTACCCACAATTATCTAAAATGGCCTTTTGGGGCACCTGGGCGGCTCAGTCAGTTAAGCACCTGCCTTCAGCTCAGGTCATGATTCCAGGCTCCTGGGATCGAGTTCCTCGTAGGGCTCCTTACTCAGTGGGGAGCCTGCTTCTCCCTCTGCCTGCCACTCGCCCTGCTTGTGCTTGCTCTCGCTCTCTCTCTCTCTCCCTCTGACAAATAAAATTAAATAAATAAATAATAAAAAGGCCTTTTATTCAAGTACTTCCTTCTTTTCTAATTACATATCTACATGAGCCCAGATTTTCTTCATATTCTATAATAACACCACACATGTACAAACTATATATGCATATATAATATGTACATATTATATGTAATATATACTTACATCATGAAAAATTGAACTCAGAAGCAGATAAGAGAATCTAGCCATCTTCCATTAAGCCACATACCAGATTTGCAAAAATGTAGTAAAATAATTCTAGTCTTCCATTTTTGAAAATACAGTTATTTCTAAAACAAAATTTTCTATTATTATACAATTGGTTTATTATTATTTCTAAATGAATAAATAGGGGCACCTGGGTGGTGAAGTCAGTTAAGCTTCAGACTCTTGGTTTCAGCTCAGGTCATGATCTCAGGGTCATGAGATGGAGCCCCACACTGGGCTCTGCACTCAGGACGGTGTCTGCTTAAGTTTCTCTCTCCCTCTCCCTCTGCTCCCCTCCCCCAGCTGCCATGTGCACCCACAGTTTCTCTAAAAATAAATAAATCTTTAAAAAAAAAAGTTTTAGTTTCTCGGTTTTAATGTATAATAATGTAAATATCAATAGATAAAATAACTCACATCAACAAAAACTTTTTGGAGTCTTCATCACTTTAAGAGAGCACCAAGAGGTTCTGAGCTAAAAAAAAATGTGAGAACCACTCTTCTAGGCTTATCTTGCACATTTTGTGCTTCTGACCTAGAATCAGCCCTCTCTCCAAAGAGCCCTGGTTCTTTTTGGTGAGAAATGATATTAAGAGACCACAGTTTGAGAACTAAGAGGCAAACTACATCTTTAAAAACAATTCCATAAGCCAAATTTAAGAGAAATTTGCATTAAGAAAACCAAACTTCTGACATTTAGTAACAAAGTGCTTCTTAAATTTTCTCCAATTAATATTTTTCTTAAAGGTCATCTCAGTATTTTTCAGTAATTAATAAAACATCTACTATTCAAAATATTCACAAACATACCAAACACACTAAGCATAACACCCATTCAATTCTATTCCCAACTAAGAATCTGTTTTATCAGTAACTCTTAAAATTTTAAATTACACCACATATAAAAAAAAGAAAAAGAAAAAAAAATTTATATATATATATATATATATATATATATATATATATATGTGATTCCTTTCTGAGAATCATGCTCTTTCAAACAATAGATGGGTGAACAGATGGATGAATTTTTGGAAGGGAGGCAGATGAATGGAAATTGAGAACACAGGCAAATCAATCTCCCTCTCTATTTCTACTTTTCTCATCTACACAATGAAAACTGAACAAAATATTTTAAGCCACCCCAACTCAGCTCTAAAAATGTAAGGCTGTTGGGGTGTCTGGGTGGCTCAGTCGTTAAGCGTCTGCCTTCGGCTCAGGTCATGATCCCAGTGTCCTGGGATCGAGCCCTGCATCAGGCTCCCTGCTCAGCGGGAAGCCTGCTTCTCCCTCTCCCATTCCCCCTGCTTGTGTTCCCTCTCTCGCTGTGTCTCTCTGTCAAAAAAATAAATAAAATCTTAAAAAAAAAAAAATGTAAGGCTGTTGACACTAATGTTGAAAGAATCATAGGGTGAACACCAGAGGGCAGCTCTACCTTCTGAATAATTTTTAGACTTTGGAAAATCTGAGGGGGGTGGGTAAAGCTATACAGCTTCAGTGGATAATCTGAACTACAGTGAGAAAATTTTTAAAATAACAACTCAGAAAAGGATGTTATCTTCCTTACTTACCCTACTTTTAGATGAATCAAAATGAGGCTAAGACCAAACTTCAGAGATTCAATTTAAGATTGTTAATTATTATATAGTAATAAAATCATGGAATTGAAAACATGATCACTATGAAATACATCAAATCAAGTTAACTTTCAAATGGATATTTTAAAGATAGTATCACTCAAATATTTGTTTCATTGTGGTGGTCTCCTACTGCTTTGATGTCTGAGTTTACTCTCAGTCTTAGAGCTATTTTTCTAAAAGCATAAATGTTCTTGGATATTACAAAAGTCCCAATGATGTACAGATACTGTCTTCGCAACAAATAATTTCCCAAGTGCAAGTACTATAGAACCTATCTTCATATTATAAATAAATGTTATCACCTTTTTTACCTTAAAATGTAGGTAATAGAGCTGTCCTCATAAAAAAGGTAAAAACATCTCACAGCAAAAAAAATCCATAGAAATATATTACGGTTTTAGACTTAAACATGACTCACAGCAACTAAGCTTTAATTTCAAGCAGTATGGTTTCATTTCCAAAACGCACATTATCTTTCAGAAATTTCTGTTCTTCATTTACAGGTCTTTTTTAACTTTCTTTTATTACTTGTACTTTGTTTACATTTTTACTGTTTCTCTCCAAATACTGAACAAACAACTTTATTTTCTTCCATCATAAATCAAAGGACAATGAAAAATAGAAATTTCATTAACATTCTTTTGTAGAAAGAGTTAAATATTTAAATATGTAAGTATGGAAAACAATATTCTTTTAACTGGAAGAGAAGAGTAACTACTTCTCTACTTCTTATAATTAAATGCAGAAAAGGCTTCTTTAACAATAAATTCTAGTTCAACACTACCAAGTGACTTGTTATGGACAACCAGTAAAAACTTGTTAAAATTTTAAACTTCCTAAATTTATATATCAGCAATAATTAGTCAAGTTATCCTTTAAATTCCTTCACCAAAGTAAGAAAGGAGAAGGTGAATGAGAGAAAATAAAAGTCAATAGATTAGCACTCCGGGTAAGGCAGGGCTTACAGGGCAGACACTGGAGCTAGAAAGATGCCAAGATTATAGGAAGGGAAAGGAAAAAGATTTTGACCCTTTTCTATCTATCTCAATTCATCTTTCTGCACCCAGCTTTCTTCACAGAGCAAAATGACAAGTATTAGTAGAAATTGTCATTTCTTTAAGATGAAGACCACTTGCAGTGATCCTAATTTGGTTAGCCTAAAACAGTGACCAAAAAAAAACAAGAAATATCCAGTAAACTCTATCTCAGGAGAAAAAAAATTAAAACTAACCCTAGGAGCTAGAAGTTGTCAAACTAATTTCATATTCATATGGAACAACAATCTAGTAATTTTAGATAGCTTTGCTAATCAACCTAATCTGAAAAGTAAGGCTGGTGCTCCTTGACCTAATCCGAAAAGTAAGGCTGGTGCTCCTTCTTTTTGTTTTTGTTTTTTTAAGATTTATTTATTCTTGAGAGAGTGTGCACGCACAGGCGAGCAGACGTGCTGTGCATGAGGGGGAGGGGCAAAGGGAAAGAATCTTGAAGCAGGTTCCGGGCAACCTTGAGATCGTGACCTCTGCCAAAACCAAGGGTCTGAGGCTTAATCTACTGAGTTTAGGTCATGATCTCATGGGTCCCGAGATGGAGCCCCAAGGTGCATGGAGCTCTGCCCTCAGCGAGGAGTCGGCTTCAGGATTCTCTCCCTCTCTCTCTCTCTCTCTCATAAATAAATAAATGAAGTCTTTAAAAAATAAAAATTTAAAAACTTGGGGCGCCTGGGTGGCTCAGTCGGTTAAGCATCTGCCTTCGGCTCAGGTGATCCCAGGGTCCTGGGATAGAGCCCCACGTTGGGCTCCCTGCTCAGGGGGGGTCTGCTTCTCCCTCTCCTTCTGCCCCTTCCCCCAGGCCCTCCCACTCTTGCTCTCTCTCTCAAAATAAATTTAAAAAATCTTTTTTAAAAAAATAAATAAATAAAACACAATCACTAATTCCTTTCCTATAGAAATTACAAAAATACTTAATAAAATTTGTTATAATGTATTATATAGTTAATAACTGGAAAACCTAACAATTTAAGGAACAAATTTATCTAAACTGTGTATATACTTATTAGAAAACAGAGTCAAACCATACCTGAAAATGCAAAGTTGTAAAAATGTAAATACAACATACAACACTAATACAAAGCAAAAACTGATTATCAATATTAATAAGTTGTCATTTACTGAGCCTGCTAGACATTATTTAATCTTCACAACTTAATAATGATAGCATTATTATAAAACTCATTATAGAGATGAGAAAACTGGGACTTAACAGAGTTAAGGAATCAGCTAAAAAAAACTCCAAAACAGAATCAGTTTGTCCGACTTTTAACTGAGAGAGTCCACAGTAAAACCTTGCTAAGGACAATTTCTTGGTACATAAGAGCTTTAACAGAGATGATGCTTTAACTCAGGGGTTAGTTAAAATTCTTCTGGAAAGGGCCAGACAGAATGTATTTTAGGCACTATGTGCCATACAGTCTCTGTCATAATTACTCAACTCTGCCACTGTAGAGCAAGTGTCCAGACAATATATAAAGCACAGCTGTGTTCCAATAAAAATTTATATACACACAAATTTCAATTTCATATAAACTTCATGTGTCATAAATATTCTTCTTTATACTTTTTATCACCAACCATTTAGAAATGTTAAAAACTATTCTTAGCTAATGGGCCATACAAAAACAAGAGGTAGACCAGATCTGGCTCATGGGTCATAGTTTGCTGACTCTTGCTTTAACTGAAAAGTTAAACATTAATAAATATTAATTAAAAAATATAAATACAACATACAATTAAACATAAATAATATTTTCAAATAAGGAGTTTCAAATAACCACTTCATGTATTATTTCCCTGATACATATTCGTATTTAGAATTACAGTACCTTTTCTCTGATATCACTTTTAACTTGCTCATCTTGAGTTACTTCATTTCAACATTGCAGATAATCTAAAAGAAAAAATGTTAATGATATTAAACACACAATTGTTTATATATATTAGATGTCATAAAAACCATACCATGGAAAGTCATTATGGGCAACACAAGATAACACTGGAAACCAAAGGAGAATGTTTTGAGTTTTACGTGCTTCTGGCAAGTTACTTCAATATGCAAAAATGTGTGACTATTACATGATCTAAAACCAGCCAGTAAAAGTTATCAAAATCCTGGAGCTACAAAAATGAAAAAAACCTAACAGTCTATGATCTACTGTTAAAGATTTCTTTTAAGACAGTTCAAATTATCTTTTCCTGTTCTTATATTCCACCTCCAAATAAAACTACAGCAGTGTACTTCGTGTCCACGATTCACACAGTGGTCAAATACTGGTAAATATGTAAGAGTATTTCTATGTGAGAACACTTTTTAATAACAAATTATTTAGACAGTAAAAACCACCTATAACATCTTCTCATTTAATATACTTAATACGTTTTTTCCTTCAATCAATACAAGTTTTATCATTAGAAAGTATATATTATACACTTTAAAACTTTAAATCTTGATTCACAGAATCCTTACAATTTTTCAGATTTATTTTGCAACTATTCACCCCCCACAAAAGGAAAACAAACAAACAAAAAAAAACCCTGGACATCTTTTAATTTTATATATCAATGCTTACTGAAGTAGAATTTTGCGGCATCACCAGACAGTAAAAAAAATACTGCCAATTCAACAAGTTTCTCACATACTTAGGAAATATTTAGTAATGCTACTTAAAGGGAAATAAACATGCAAAAGAATATAGTAGATTTAGAAGCCATAGATATTCTGGATGTTTTTCTTCAATTAACAAAGAACTTTCACTTCAATAAAACACACATGGTTTTTTGTTTTTTTCTCAGTTTTCTCATTAACTCAATCATAAAAAAGAAAACACGTATTTAGGATTATGTACAAAAATTACATGGACTGTTTTTCAGGTTGGCAAGAAATTTAAAACTACTGACTAATCTGTCTTTTAACTGACTTTAAAAAAAAAGATTACAAAGTCAAAGTAACTTTTTCCCATTTCCAAATTAATTAAGAATCAAAAATCCAAAGGAGGGGAAAAAAACTGATTTCAAAAGCACTACTGCTGCCATAAACATAAGGTTAATTAAGTTACTTCTACTTGTTGAGTGGTAGGACCTTCTCTAAAAGTGCATTAATAACACATCTCATGAAAAGTTTACTGTGAATCTTATTAGAGCTGACAGAATTGGAAAGGTTAATGCTGGGCACTTACATCACAAACAATTCTATTTCAACAGTTAAGAAATGATTCAAATTTCCAATTCACAATAAAATAACAGTTGAAACAGGCTTTCCCTGTCCTCTCCCTCCCAGGACTAGAGTAAAGTAAACAGCAAAGCAATAAATAGAAATTATGTTTAAGCCCACAGTGACAAGAAGGAAAACTAAGGGGGGGTGGGTAGGTACTAGAAGAATTCAGGAAACTCGGAACCCAAGGACTTGGAGGTGCCAAGCACAACAGAGGAGGAGACTGTTCAAGAGCTAACGAAAAGTCTGTAACTCCAAGCAACTTCCTACCTCCTCGATATCCCATACTTCACCATTGTAGGAAATGTTCAACTGCCAGTCCTAAAATTCCGGACAAATAATCCTCATTAAAGAAACTGATAACCTCAAAGAATTCTGCTTTCTGGGACTAAAGAGTCCTCCAGGAAGAAGGCCAGCTCTCAACCACATCATCCTAGAGCTAAGCCAGTATTGCCCCTTATGCTCACTTTTTATAGTGTAAGGTCAGAGTGCCCCCAGAGAACACAAACACTTTCTATTTTGAAAGTCTGTGTTTGTTACAGTATCATGGAATTGAAAGAACAGGCACCTAGAAGCAGAAGTGCTGCATTTCACCAAGTTTGTGGCTTTGCCAACCAAGTGTGACAAAGCAAGAAAGAGGCAAAGATATTGAGACTGTATTATACAAGGGCGTAACTATAAAAACAGACCATGAAGTTTAGCTACAATCTACTCATTCCCCATTATTGGGTCATTTTCATCACCATAAAATCATGTTGTTATTTCCGTGTCTTGAAGGAAAAAAATAAGCTCTCTTCGCTCCCACTTCCTGAATCCAGAGACCGTCCCATTTCTCCTCCCTCCCAAAAGCAAAGAGTTGTTTGCACACACTGTCAACAACTCTTCCCCTTCTCTCCTAAACACACTCCGGTCAGGTTCTCCACACCCCACTTGTCAGTCCCAGTGACCTCCATTTCCCTGAATCCAACTGTCAATTCTGTCTTGTCTTATCAGCAGCATTTGATAGAACTGGTCACTCCCTTTTCTTGGAAATACTTTCCTCATTTGGCCATACTCTCTTAAGTTTCCTTCACTGAATGCCCTAAGCTCAAGTCTTTCTCGTCCTTTTCTAACTCCAGTCTCTTCCTTGGTGACCTCATCCAGTCTCATGACTACTTGACATCTCCATATCACAAACTCAACATATCCAATACTGATCCCCTGAACTGCTCCTCCCTACTAAGTGTGCTCTCACCTCAGCTTTTCCAACTGCAGTTGAAGACAATTCTCTCTCCCATTCTTAGTCCAAAACCTTAACTTCCTCTTTGACTCCTGTCTTACATCCCACATCCAATCCATCAGCAAGTCCTGATAATTCTACTTTCAAAATATATCCAGAATCTGATCACACTTCACCATAACTACTACCATGGGCAAGCGAACCATCCTTATTAGTCTCCCTTCTACCTTTGGGCCTCTATACTCTACTCTCAACAGAACATCCTGACTGATCCTTTTAAACCCTTGGGGAAAAGAAGGGGGGGGGGAACCTTAGGTAAATCTTGTTACTGCTCTGCTCAAAGTCCTGAGATGCTGTCCATTTCAGTGGCATTAAGGGCCCTAGGAGAATACCTCAGCCCTTCCTTCCCTGACCTCATCTCCTACCTACAACTCTCCTTACTCACGCTGCTCTAGACACACTGGCTGAGCCACCTTGCTTTCCTCCAATTCTTACCTAGCCCGAGCTGTTTCCTCCACCTGAAATGTTCTGCCAGATATCCTAATGACTGACCAACTTCCAAACTTCCTTTGCTTGAATATCAACTTTTCAATAAAGCCTACTCCAACCATCCTATTTAATGCTGTAAACTACCTCCAGATCCAGCATACCCATTGCTGCTTGCTTGAATCTACTGTCTTTTTCCAGAGCACTTACCACCTTCTAATACAGGATGATTCAAAAATAACTGAACACATTGAAAACTGTACTATTCAATAACTGATTACATATGAACCTGTGTCAGAACAACATTTAAGGGAACAATCACTAGTTCTATAAACTTTTGAATGCTCATGGATGCCCCATTACACCACATGTATCAATCCTGTAATCAAATTCATCCCAGACCCTTACCAGCTTATCACCACTGATAATGACAAAAGCAACCACAACGGGTTCCTTCATTTCCTCAAAGTTTTGAGGAAAAAGTGGTAGCAACCCAAAGTTCTTGATATATACAAATAAGAAATCATATGGTTTCTAGTATCTCACTGGCCAATATTTCACTCGTTTTAAACATCTTGTAAACTAGATAATTTATTTAACTCTGTGTTTTGCTTATTATCTCTATCTCCCTGCTAGAAGTAAAGCTCCATGAAGGAAGAACTCTGCTTTGCTTACTAAATGCCTCCCAAGTGCCTACGACAGAGACAGCGCACGGCAGGCACTAAAAAAAAATTTAAATGAATAAACCAAAGTTTTAAAGACTTGCTGTGAGAAAATTTTACCACACAAATGTGCAAAAAAGTCTTCATTTTAAAAAATCCAACAACATGGAATATATGGTATACTGGCATACAATATCTATCCCAATTTCCGTCTAGTGTGCCTTCCTGTACTATACGAACTTGAAAGTTTTAAGGAAAAAAAAAAGTACTTCCCAGACTCCCCTGCAGCTAGAGTTCCAGCTGTGACTTAAATCCAACAATTTCGATCTCAGCATTTGGGAGAGACTTAGAAGACTGAAAGGATGCCTGATTCCACAGGCAAACACAGACACACACATGTTCAGTTCTTGGACAGCAATGCATGCAAGAGGTCCCAGAGTCTAGTCCAGGGTTTCTCATAAGCTGTTGCTAGAATTCTTTGAGAGGTCACCACTGGGATAAAAAAAATTTTCTTTTTTACTTTTGTGCACCAAGCAATGGCGGCATTCACAGTAACTAATGATTGTGTTAGAAATCTGACGTATATGGGGTGTCTGAGTGGCTCAGTTGGTTAAGCATCTGCCTTCGGCTCAGGTCATGATCCCAAGGTCCTGGGATCAAGCCCCACGTCAGGCTCCTTGCCAGCAGTTAGTCTCCTTCTCCCTCTCTCTCTGCCCCTCCTCCAACTCCTGCTCGCATGCTCTTTCTCTCTCTCTCTAATAAAAACTTAAAAAAAAACCCCAAACCAGCCATATGTGACAGTGTACAGTAGGACCAGGTCATTTGGTTAGAGTTTGCCTTCATAGTTGGAGGCTGCATGGCACAGGGGGAGGATGGTAGGCTAAGGAACACCAGCTTCTCCCTTTCAAGTTACCGCCCCTAATCTGGTAAGATTACTAATGAAGAATTGTATCTTGTGAATCATTTCACTAAATGAGCACAACAGGAGACATACACACAAAACCCCATCTTTACAGTGAAAACTACTTATCAGGGGCACCTAGGTGGCTCAGTCAGTTAAGCATCTGCCTTCGGCTCAGGTCATGATCTCAGTGTCCTGGGATCAAGCCCTGCATGGGACTCCCTGCTCAGCAGGGAGTCTGCTTACCCCTCTCCTGGCCCCACCCTGCCGCTTGTGCTCTCTCAAATAAGTAAATAAAACCTTAAAAAAAAAAAAAAAAACTTATCAATGGGCTGATACATGGGCTGGTAATTCTAGTTTTCATACTCCATTTTATGTGGGCTGTGGAAAACCACTTTTCAAGTGCAGCATG